TAATATCATATACCCTCATATTTCTTGCGCCATTACCGCTTGGGGAAGTACCTATAAGGTTAACTTAAAAAAGTTACAAACAAAGCAAAATCAAGTGGGATTATGTTCTTTGCTACAACACACGGACCACTCACAAAGAGTGCTCTTCCATATTTAAATATGTTAGAAATTCTCAGTGTTGATAACCTTTATCGACTCAGTGCTTTAAAATTCACTCATCTATGGCACAAAGGCCAACTGCCACGCATATTTGACAGTTTATTTCAATATACTATAGTGACGTACATACCTACAACACCAGATATTCATCTAAGCAAAACTTACACAAAAAACGTGTTAGAACAAACTATGGTAAACAAATGACTTCCTTTGCATTTATTGACCTCTGGAAAGAACTTCCTAAACAACTTCAACACCTAAATGTTTTTTGTTTTTCAAAATTGGTAAAAAAATATTTATTAAAAAAAGAATTTGAGACAAATTAGAGCCATGTTAATTAATATGCGCTTTAATCTCATTTTATTTGGCTCTGTCAAACAAATTATCTTTCATCTCTAATTAAAATTTAAAATCAATAGGCTGGTAACTAACTAGAAAACCTCACGGTTAATTTAGTTACCAGGCCCAATACCCGTTAAACAGTGTGTTAACTATTTATATTTATTATTCTATTTATTATTTAAGAACTAATTTTTGATAACTGTATTTTTTTCAAAAAGGGCAAAATATATTTATTTATTATTTAAAAAAAAAGAGCGCGGGGGACTCATGAGGGGACTTTTGTGTGTAAATTGAGACAAATATATGAAAAGCGCGAAGCCAATCACTAACGGTTTTTATACGTTCTGATTTGGCGGTCGGCTCCAAGACAAGAGACGCAGGCTGACCCGTTTCAGAAGGCCGAATATTAATCTCGTAACGGGTTGTCGGGTCGGGATTGCTAAGTAAACTACAGAAATCCACAAACTCCTCATTCCAAATTTTTACTTTTACTTTTCGGGAACCCGAGCATCCAGCGGCAGGCTGGTAGAATGAAAAGGTTGTTGAGAAAACAATTCCGTAGAGTTAGGAATAGTAAAAGGAAGTGGCTGACCTGACAGACTGGAGTGTGTTGACGCAATGGCATCGTTGATCAGGTTTTCGGCGTGTGTCGAAGAAGAAGCACCCTCCTCATGAGGAAAGATTGGCGTCGCTGCAGTTGTTGGTGGAAGCGCCGACAGCTGTAGGGTAACTGCAGTTGTCACTGACGAAACCAAGGTCGAGATCAGGTCGGCAGACAAGGACGGTTGGCTAACTATCGGTGCGGGCGACGCAATTGTTGTAGCCGCAGGCGATGTTGATGGTAATGAATCAGCACCCCGAGAAAGACCAGAACGAGACATCCCACGTGCATTCCGCGAGCGTAGAACAGGGCGAGCTGCAACTGATTGGCCTTGCACAGAGTTCTATGGTCCGGTGGGAGTGGCAACACGCTTTGAGCGACGGATGGGAGGCATTCTAGAAAATAAAACTGATATAGAGACTTGAAAGTGAATTTTTTGAGATTTAATGTTGATCTGTTCACCAGTACAGTTGTAGTCGAATGATACTTGCTTTGCGTAGCTATCCATTTTAAAATGATATCAACCACACCTATCGCTCCCTTACAAGCTTTTCGCGTTCTATTTTTAAGTATGGCGCCAAGCTAATAATATTAAGAGTTTTAATCTTTGTAACGGCTTAACACCTACTTCGCCATGTCTAGTTCTTGCTTATACAAGCACCTTAGATAAGACGATTTTACTCTGATAAATCACATTACATAAATTCCTTATTTTCTTCGCAAATATTTTGTTTTATACTATAAATGAGTTTATTTTACCTGTATCGGTTTAAATTCGCTGTTAAGTTGCAAATAATTCTGTTTGAGAACGCAACAATTGGGCATTTCGCAATCAGGGCAGTTTCAGGGCAGTTTTGGCCTTGTTGTTACGAAATCCCGTAGGCCTTCTATTTTTTCGCTTGCGTCAGGCTTGTGTCCTTCCTCCGCCCCGCACCCAAATTACCTAGTCCCAGTCTTTTCATGTGAAAAAGTGCTGAATATTCAAAAAATATAAATAAAAATAGAAGGCCTAGGATAGGCCGTTTTTGGCTAATTCTCGACACTTTCAAAAATGTTTACTCAAGTTTAAACGCAACTCTCTCGGTCAATATTGCACGAAAATGCAGAGGGCGTATATCAAAATTTAAGTTCGACAATACTGAATACAATACACGTAGTTTACATGTAATAGCTCTTTTAGCTTTTAAGTGAAAACAAATCAAACAGGTTAACTTTTTTTTGCGCCACCCGGTATATATATATGTATATATATATATATATATATATATATATATATATATATATATATATATATATATATATATATATATATATATATATATATATATATATATACACTCCAGAACATTTTCATCTTAACATATTACAGAGTGTACAATTACACAATACAGAGAGTGT